AATTATATGTAAAATATATTTCTTATATTATCTCTACCAATAATATTGTGAACGATATATAAAAAAAATATTCCTTTGATTTTCCTACAATTATGGTAGCAAATCTCTATGATCCATATTATTATCATGTTTTTAGGAATAATGGTTTACACAATTATTTTCTCAAATAATAAAATTTTCGAAGTTGAATTCAAATTTTCATTTAGCCACCATTTTTCAAAAGAAAAAAAAAATACTAAAAATAATAACTTTGAAAATTTTAAGTGGGAATTTCAAAACTATTTCAAGTAAATCACTCTCTTTATTATATAGTAATAGATGGTGTATGTAAATCTCATTATAATAATAAAGTTTCAAGATTTTCAAATCTATAGATACAAAGATAATAAGTATTTACTAAATATAGTATGAATAAAATCTGAGAATATTTAATGCATAGCTTATTTGGAAACTGTTTAAAAATATGCATTACTTGCTTGCATATACATGTCTTCAAATCAGATCAAATCAAATATGATAAAAAATATTCTTTCTTTGAATAATGTTATTAGCATCTGCAATAGTTTCAATGATACTGTTGATATCCGAGTTGGGCACATGCAAGAGTTCCGATTCGCAGAAAAAGAACCGGATGACGGCGGCCCGATCTTCCAGGTCGATCTTTGAGTGATCATGGAAATGCCGAACTGACCGAAGATCAAAGTCAACGTGGACGACATGCTACATCGTATCTGAGGTTGGCACCTGCTACATCATTTGACGCCGATCTGGTAGGATGCCGAACATAAAAGTAGGACCCCCGAGGCCAGGGGAACGAACTAGCAGCCAAAGTCCGACCTGAGGTTTCCATCAAGTCGGCCTGCACACGGGCTGAGAACCTGGAAAATAATATTATAATGTCACTTGTCAACTAATAATTGTCGATGGGATGTGTCAGCCTAGCCTGCAACCCTATGATACTTAGCCCGGCCTAAAGGCCTGAGTGCATTTAATGCAGCCCATACCAGCATTAAATGCTCAGCAGGTAATGATTGGAAAAGCCACAAATTACTCCCAATCGGTCAGAAAAGCGCCGGCATGTCCTTCAGAGTCACTGTATGATAAGACAGCATGAACAGTGGAGAACAGTGTCGAATTTAAGACTACTATAAATAGAAGACCCTCTCATTTATTTTGGGTTGTTGAATCTAAACTAACTCTGCCTTCTCTCTACTTTCTCTCTCTAGTAATAATTTTCAGTGAACATTCTAAAGTGTAACAAAAGTGTCGACCTCATTTACAGAGGCCGACCTAGTAATTACGTAATAAAATTCCCTTTTCGCAGTATTTCTTTGTTATTTCATCTTTTTACTCTCAACACACTTTATTTTTACCGTTGATCGGATCCGTCCATCAATAGATACCAATTATTATAAGCTACAAAATTGTTTTTCCATGATTCATATTGATAATATTTTGGTCAAGATAAACATAAAAACATATTCTCAGTTCTATCCATACTAATATATTTTTCACAAATACTGACGTTTCATCCTAAAATATTTATACAAAATCGTAACAGGTTAGGTAAACTTAGTTCTTTCAATTAATCAGACAAAATCAAGTTAGTGAATTAATCTTTTCCCATATAATTTTTTTTTAAATTTTATTTCATTAAATACGTAAAAAAAATATTCTTCAAATTAATATAATTTACTATTTAAGAGTTAATGACCAGATACATTAAATAATTTTACTAATGGCCAGATAATAAATTAAAATATACTAACTATTCTTTAGAATTTCAACATGTGATTTAATAGTACTAGTGTGTATCTCGTGCGATGCACGGACAGACGTATTCCTTAAAACTTTCTTTTTAACTTTATTTAAATATAACTATTTTTACTAAAAACATCTCATTATTGGTTTTCTAATATGCATTTTTTATAATTAAATATCATGCAAATAAAATAACTAATTAATTGACTTAATTAATTCCTATGAAAAATAAGAAACTAATTACTTATCATGCATATTAGACAGAACATCAAATAAATAAATACTCCCTCCTAATCATAATAAGTGTCGTTTTCGGAAGTTGCACACTAATTAAGAATAATTTTTTTGCCAATAATAACCCTCATTAATGAAGATAGAGATGAATGTTTAAAAAAAAAAGATGAAGAGAATATGAAAAGACGTGGTATATTTATTAACTAAATGAGGGTAATAATGGAAAAATATATACAAAAGATCCAAAACGACATTTATTTTGGTTAATAGTTGATAAAACCAAAATGACATTTAAAAAGAATAGGAGGTAGTATTATTTATATCACATAAATAATATGCAAATCCCATAAATAAATATGATGCATATTAAATAATTAGTAGCAATAAACATGAAAATGAATAATTCAGCTATTGTGGGCATTAATAACAATCCAAGAAAGATATGAAAACTGACAATACAGTCTATATTGGAATTGACTTTCCTATCAGTCGAGAACTTCTCACCTGTCACATGTCACAAGTGTTTAAATTCTCCGGGCAAACAAAAAAAAAATAAAAGCAACTTCCTTGCCAAAAATCTCATCCATAACTAATCAATCTCGCCTGGAAAAAAAAGTCTAGAATAAAAACGTGTAGCCGGAGAAATTGCGTGTGATTGATTTAATTAGGAAATAAATCTTCTTTTTAACAACCAAAACAAAGAGATTTCATTATGTGAGATTGATTTGATTAATTGAATTTTAAACTTAAATATATTAGCCAAATGCGGGATTCTTTAGATTTTTTTGAAAAACATTTCCAAAGAATTAAGAAGGCTCCATATAACATCAGAGATGTAAAGGACTTTGAATAAAAATATGAAATATTCAAAATTCAGAGTTTAATATTTATTTAGTTATTATTATTAACTTGTCTATAGATATATTTTTTTTAAAAGCATGATATGTAATCATAAAGATTTTAGTTAAAAAGTATCTATTTTATTGTCTAATTTATTGAGCACAAAATAAAAACGTGAAGGAATGAAAAATTATTTTTATTGTAATTACTTATACATCGATTAAAAAAGTTTTAGTAATGTTTGAAAACTTAACTACCTAATGAAATATTTGATTTCAAAACAATGCACATAGTATAATCATATAATTTATTTGCTACATTTATGGTTTGTAATTATCCCATAATTCCAAATTCTTTCTAATTGACCATAGTTTTCAGGTATTCTCAGAAATTTTTTGGTTATTTAAATAAGGAGTACTTTGAATTTTTTTTCTTTTTTAGTTTAGTAAAATGATTCCAATTTTTTGAAAAGATTGATAAATATTTTAATTTGTATATATTAAATGTTAAAATAGAAAAAAGAAAAATATTTCCAACATCTTAAGAAATTGGAATTTAAAAGTTAAAAAAAAAAGGAAAAAAAGCGTAATATTGGAAAAGGAAAAAAAGAATATAGGAAAGAAAAAAAATTGTCATGCTTCATAGGAAGAATTTATAATAGATATTCCGCAATTTATTTGACTTACCATAGTTAATAGTTCTAGATATCTAATTAAGGATATTAAAATCAAATCAAAACAATATCCACAAAGAAAGGAAACAAAATTTAAATATGGACATTAGGATAATATGGAATGCATATCTATTAAAAAATATACTCCCTCCAATTCATATTCATTGTCGTTTTGGCTTTGTTTCTCATTAACTGAATAATTGTGGTTTTGAGTCTTTTTTCAATATTTTTCATATTTACCCCCTCCAACTGATAAGCATCGTCTCTTCATATCCAACTTCATCTTTTCCCGTAAAATCTCTCTTCCCATGGCAGAAGTCGGTTGGTATATTGACAGCCTCTCTATATATTTTTCCAATCCATCTTCCATAATTTGTGTGTGTCTATTTTTAATCTAAATTTTTTCTAATCCTTTGATCCTGGTTCTATTGTTCCCCTCCTTTTTTTCTCTTTGATTCATGGATTCAAAAGATTATGATGTTTCAATATCGGATCCAGAAATCCACTTAGCTACATCTATTCAATCTCACAAACTTCTTGTGGATGAAGTCCTTCAACTATTAGAGAAGACAAAGGCAAGTTTAGATGTTTTCCATTCAATTGCTTTGCAAATTACTGATTCAACAGAGTCCTCTAAAGTGTATGTGTCCGATTTGGACGTCGAAGATGATGTTCATCAATGTTCTCGCCTAAATCACTTCGCAACTGGAACTAGTTTTCGAAAGTTAAAGTGCAACAATGGTTGAAGAGAAGCCTGTTGCTGATGAAGCAATTTTTTGTCCCAATGATCAAATTGATAACGAGATGCTGAAGATTTTTGTACCAACACTATTTACCGAAAAGCACTCGGCCAATGTGGCAGATTTGCTTTAAGCGGATAGTCTTATTCGTCTATGTTTTTTTTTTTTTTTNGTAATCTGTTGTTTATCATCTTTTTGGTTTTGGTCTAGGTACTTTGGCTTTTAACTGGTACTTGTGGCGTCACCTTTTTTTTCTAAAAAATCTGAGGGAGTGACTTTTTAAATCTCCATTAAAAATTGTGTTGTTATGAGGCTCCATATTGTATTAAAGTTCTTTTGCTCTGGAGGTTTGATGGTGTATTGCAATTGCAATTTGGATGATGATGTATTATGGGAGTCTTTATGTTGAGAAGTTTTAATGTTGCATATTGGCTTTGGAGTAAGGAAATTTGTGAGCAAAGGTGAAAATTTTTAATATAGTTAGACCATGCATCTGTCTTTGATGTCTCTGTGCCGTATACATGCTCAAAAGTGATTTTTGTCAATTTGTCCTAATTCACAACCAATAACTATCAGTACCTAATTTGAGAAAAATCCCATAATTGCTCCACCAATATTGTCAAACATGTTGTTAAATATTGTAGTATTGCCCTGGACTTTTTCTTGCTAAAAATTCCAACAATTTGCAATATTAAATGCTAACAATCACCATTAGCATGATGAATTGATGATTTTTTTATAACCTTTGTAATTTCCCTCTCTAAATAAGTCTCATGGACACACTGAGCTGATGGAGTGTGCATCAATTGCTTTCTCAACCCATTTCATACAGTACCAAATATAAGGAATAAAAAAATAAAGTACCAAATAATACACTCTTTCTGTACATCAATTTTGTTTGTTTTAACATGTTAAGAGTAATAATATTGCACATGAGTGTCTTTCTTTGTGCATGTTCAACTGTTGACATAAAGAATATATTTTCTTGGCAATCTTGATCAGATTGTTGAAACTGAACAATGGGAAAAAGCCAGAAAAAGCTTCTCTTTTTTCATTCTCTTTTAATCACCATTTGGTTATTTTCTTTATGTGCATTAGATTTTTTTTTTTTTTTTTTTTTTNTTTTTTTTTTTTTTTTTTTTTTGGAAACAACCAGAAAAAGCTGCAATATTATATAGCAACAAGGTTAAAACTGAATTTGGATCAAAGCAAGGAAAAATTGCCTCACAGTACATAGAGAATTTGAACTGAACTGTGAAAAGCACTATGAAGATGAAGTTTGAAGAGACTGAAGGGCCCTAACAACTTCATTCATGGACGGCCTCTTTTCCGGTGCAATGCTCGTGCAGTCCATGCCGATTTCAAGAGCCTTCAACATCTATTCTCTACACGAGCTCGAAAACTTTTGATCGAGAATTCTCGTGGGCCCGTTAGTGATGTTAACATTTCTCCTCACCCACTTCACGACATCAAGAGAAGGTCCATCGTCCCCTATCTCGTTTTTCTTGGCTTGTCGGCCGGTCAAGAGCTCTAACAAGACAACCCCAAAGCCGTACGTGTCACTTTGTTCAGTGACTTTCTTTGTGTAGCCATATTCGGGCGCCAAATATTAAGGAAATGTGCATTCAAATGCAACTATCGACTGAAAGGCACTTTGTCCAATAACTCGATCTAAATCGAAATCTATAAGCTTTGACTCAAAATCATCATCCAGAAGAACATTAGTCGACCTCACATTTCTATTAACCTGATAAGAGTCTCGTCCTTAAACCTTAATCTCACTTATTAGATGTTTGTTTGAGCATATAACTATTCATCTCCTTCAGCAGCAAGGGACACTTCTTTTCAAGGCATTTGAAATAGTCCAGCTTTAGAAGATCAGCAGAATTATCCAAATCATACTAAAAGCATAGATTTTTCAGTTCAGATGCATTACATTTAGGATGGATGATAGCACTGACACGGCCAAGTTTTGAATATCTCTGTCAATAGCCAACTCACTTCTGCTCCAAAGCTATCGATGATGATGGCCGACCCCAAAGAACTAGTAATCACTGATTTAAATTTAAAAGTGAGTGATTTTTTGTAATCCATGATTTTTGAAAAGTGAGGCTAAGATTGTTCCCACCACAAATTTCCTCACGGCCGACCAGCGTGGAAAAACTCAGGCCTTGAATAAGTAGTGACTTTTTCACCATCATTTTTTTTTCATTTCCACATAATGCTATTGATATCTGGAACCATTTTTATGACAATGGCGTGGAATGTGACGTGCACGATTTCCCAGTTCATGGCCCAAATGCACCCGACTATTTAATATTATTCAAAAGCACAATGAATAGCTATCTAAAAGGGTGACAAGAATCTTCAACAATGAAATAGGCAGACACCCTGTTGATATCCGACTTGATTACATAATTAAAGGTGGAGATTAATCGCTTCATTAAAGAAATAATTCTCCAGAAGAAGACAAACTTAGGACAAGTTTTAGGGTTTAGGGTTTAGGGTTTAGGGTTTAGGGTTTAGGACAAGTGACTTGTCCTAAGTTTGTCTTCTTCTGGAGAATTATTTCTTTAATGAAGCGATTAATCTCCACCTTTAATTATGTAATCAAGTCGGATATCAACAGTGAGGCCCCCGACATTAGTAGGTATTTGAACTTTTCAAATGGCTGCTGATGTCGATTGTTGTTCCGATTTGATTGTCTTTGACGACCGACATGAGAACACTTGTTTTATTTGCAACTTCTTGTGTGTTACTTGGTCTGACATGGCGGCTCTTAAAAGATGTGTCCGTATTTAATGGGTCCGACGGATATAAATTTGTAGCGACATGGCGTTTCTGAACGTGTCCACGTGTATTAATGATTACTGTAACGTTACACCATTTTGAGACACGTCCGTTACACGCGCCATTTCTGGATCTCTCCAACGGTTATAAATCAAAACCTATAAATTGCAGTCGGTTTTGACATGTAAAAAGTTTCTGTACCTGAAATCTTCTCTCCTGCTTCCTTCTGTGTTCAATCTTCCTTGATTTTTTTCTTTCAATTTCTTTCTTGTGCACTTTGTCTGTGTTTTCTTCGATTCAGGGCTTTCGAGAATTTCGGTAAGAATTTGCCCTAACCTTTTCAATTTCTTTATCTATTTCGAATTTGCTTTTGCTTTTATCAATTTCGAAAAAGATGTCTGCTCAAGCCGAAGATAGCAGTAGCCGTATAGTTTCAGAGATTACAATTTTTACCGATGAGGATTTGGAATTGCCTCTGGAGTTTTACCGGTGGGATCCTCTTCTGGTGAAACGATTAAATCTCAATAGAGATATTGTCGAGGAGGATAAACGAGTCGAAGAGGATGCTATGTCGCTTCCCGATTACTGGAGACGTGCTGCTCGTCGGTGGCCCGAACCGATTGATGAGTACAGAGGTGAACCAAGCATCCTTACTGATGCAGATATTGTCAATCTCCGCGGAGAAGTCTATATTCCTTCCTCAGGGAGGTTGTTTGCTCCTTATCCAGGAGAAAGGATAACGTGTCCTCCTCCCGGCTGTGTGGGCGTGTTTACTGATTCGTTAAGATCGGGACTTCGGTTTCCACTCCCAGCGATAATTACCGACTATCTGAGAGATTGGGGATTCGGTTTATGTCAAATAGCACCGAATACTTGGAAGAGGATCATCGGTCTTTTGGTGCTATTACAAGAAAAGGGCTGGGATATGCCAACAGTGGAAGAGATTAGAAGTCTGTACACCTTCAGACGGTGTACCGACAGACAGGTGGCTGATCCCCTGATTTGTTATGCTTGCGCGGGAAGGCCTCAAGAAGGATTAAAGATTGGTGAATTAATTACTGAAATCCCCGAGTCACTCCACGGATTTCAAGAGGAGTGGTTATGGATTGGAGGAGACTGGCAAACTCCAAATTTTTCGAAACCTTTAATCGATGGGATGACAATTCCCATCAATATTAATTCCGCATTTTGTAAGTTTTTCCTTTACTTCTTTCACCAAGTTGTCCTGAATTTGCTTATTTTTGTACTAACAGGTCAGCGCTTTATTATTTGCAGCCAAAAGCAAAGGATTAAAACTCGGTACACCATTGAAGGAAAGAATTACCGAGTTATTAAAGTTAAAGAAAGCACAGCGTAGCTTCAAGCTGATTTTGAAGGACACAAGATTGAAGGCTGCTGGTTTCTGTCCTGAGATTTCTGACGGTTCTTTCCAACCAAGTAAACTTGAATAAACTTTCAATCTTGTTTAAAGTCGGTTGCTTTTGAAAACTATCATAACTCGGTTCTGTATTTGCAGTTTACTATCCGCTTCTCGGTGTTCTCGGTTTTAAGACTATCCGCGACGCTAAAGCTTTCCGACAAAAGAGTCCAAACTTGGACCTTCAAACTAAAGTCGGTAAAAGCAAGGAATTACGCTTATCAGGAATGGGTCGCAAGAAGCTAGTGAAGGCATATCTGGAAAATCCGATAATGAACCCTCCAGAGACCGATATCGGTGCTGGTGCCACATCAGCGACTGTTGCCGAGATTTTACAACCAGATCCGTTGGCGATCGCGGCGGCAGGTCCAATGGCTGCTATTGCTGCTGATACTGCTAATTCATCTCAGATTGAGCCAATTGGTGAGAATATTCCAGCGGAAGTTCCGCCTGTTATTGAGGTAATTTCTGATGAACCTGAAGGTGACCGAGAGATTGTTGCAGAACGTGAAGTTCCAGCTACTCGGTCAAGAAAAAGACGTGCAGAAAGCGTTCCAGCCGCAGAGGAATGAAGAAAAAAGAAGCATGATACCAGCGATAGGGGAAAGAAGAAAAAAGAACCGTTGGTTGATCGATCCTTTTTGCCCATCGACGAAGAAAGGGCTCTGAATTTTAGGCAGCCTCGAGAATCAGTCGAGAAATGGTTCTCGGCTTTTGAGTCGGTAGAGATTCCCGAGATATCAAGCACAGTTGAGCTGCCTAATCATGTTGTTGATGCTGCTCGAGTCCCAATGATGGTGTGGGATCCAAGATCTGAGATTGGCGTATCCTCACTTCCGAGTGCGTATAAGTTCAAATACGCTAAAGCTTGTTTAGGTCGTGCGCTCGTCAGCTTAGTGATGGCCGAAGATGATTTCCGACTAAATGCTGCACAAGTGGACGAGAAAAAGCACACCTTGGAACTCAGAGATGGAGCTCTTGCATCTCTGAAAGAGGAAGCAGCGGCGAAGGAGAGAGAATTGCAAGTCAAAATTGCCGAACAAACCGAGCAGCTTACGATCGCTCAGAGTGAGATCGAGACCTTGAAGGTTGATAAGGCTAGTCTTGACTCCGATGTGTTGAAGTTGACGAGCCAAGTGATCACCTCCGAGCAGCGTGTTAAAATGCTTGAAGAACAGCTTTCTCGGTGTGAATCTCTTCTCCGCAAAGAACAAGAAGCTCATGAAAACTGACAATACAGTCTATATTGGAATTGACTTTCCTATCAGTCGAGAACTTCTCACCTGTCACATGTCACAAGTGTTTAAATTCTCCGGGAAAACAAAAAAAAAATAAAAGCAACTTCCTTGCCAAAAATCTCATCCATAACTAATCAATCTCGCCTGGAAAAAAAAGTCTAGAATAAAAACGTGTAGCCGGAGAAATTGCGTGTGATTGATTTAATTAGGAAATAAATCTTCTTTTTAACAACCAAAACAAAGAGATTTCATTATGTGAGATTGATTTGATTAATTGAATTTTAAACTTAAATATATTAGCCAAATGCGGGATTCTTTAGATTTTTTTGAAAAACATTTCCAAAGAATTAAGAAGGCTCCATATAACATCAGAGATGTAAAGGACTTTGAATAAAAATATGAAATATTCAAAATTCAGAGTTTAATATTTATTTAGTTATTATTATTAACTTGTCTATAGATATATTTTTTTTAAAAGCATGATATGTAATCATAAAGATTTTAGTTAAAAAGTATCTATTTTATTGTCTAATTTATTGAGCACAAAATAAAAACGTGAAGGAATGAAAAATTATTTTTATTGTAATTACTTATACATCGATTAAAAAAGTTTTAGTAATGTTTGAAAACTTAACTACCTAATGAAATATTTGATTTCAAAACAATGCACATAGTATAATCATATAATTTATTTGCTACATTTATGGTTTGTAATTATCCCATAACAGGCTTAAGACCAAGACAGACTCCGATTCTGAAGATGAAGACCGAGAATTTGAGATGAACACATGTCTTAACTTGCGCTGGGTTATTGAGCGATTTGATGAGGGGTTATACGACATTGAAGAAGTTCGACAATTCCTTCTTCATAAGATCAAGAGTCATAACTTCAACCCCTCCATTGCAACTGCCCACATTGAGGCCGACGAGGATGAAAAGAGTTTCTGTGAGGGTCTCCTAGCTTCTATTGGGGCCGAGACAAGAGGTTCTGAGGCTCCAGCTTTGAACCGAGAAAGAGAAGCTCATCTTCGCCGGTCATTTGTCAATATGGTGTTGGAAGGCGAAAAAGAAAAGAAGACTGAGCTTGCCAATGTGTATGTGAAGACTTTGGCTGAAGTAAGTTTAGAGGAGGAATTGGAGAAAATGACTCCTGAACAACTCCGGAAGTCGGTGCTGGCTTTTCTTGGAAGAAAGGTAGCCGAGTTATCACAGAAAGATAATCAATCAATTGCCACCGAGATGCTTGGAGTTGAGGAAGACAATACAATTTTGAATAAACATATCCCAGTGACTCTCACTGAGGTTGAAAATGCTGCTAAAGTTGAAGAAGATCGAGTTTTTGATATCATTAGCCGCATCATGTATGATCAAATCACGAAGAATGATGCGAAGGAAGCAACAAAAGATGAAGTGAGTCCAGTAGCGGATCAATCTCCTGCAGTTGTTGAATTATCGAACAAGGATAGCACAAATCCCATTGAGAAGACTGATGACCCAGCAAAGTCAATTTAATTGCTTTCTTTCTCTTTTTTAAGATGTGTTCTCGATATATCGAGACACATATTTTATTGTAATGGATAATTTTTATTAAGTGGTATGAATGAAAAATTTGTTTTTATTTCGTACTCTTTTCATTCACAATTTATATT